TATTGTTACATACCACAATATAGAAATATTAGGGGTGAAGTGATGGAGGCAAATAAGGAGAAAATTTGCTTTCAAATTTAGATGCTGGCTCTGTTTACTTTGGGATTATTAAATGTTATTTAAATTCTCTATGCTGTCATTTCCCCATCTGTAAACTGAAGAAAAACTAGTACAATTTTTCTATATATTATTAAAGTCTTCTAGGTGGAATACTTAGGATGTGCTTGACACTTAGTAAGTTCTCAGTAAACATTAATCCATTTGTTAGTAGTAAAGGACAGTGTGGAGTCTTACTATTATTGCCATGGGGTACTAGCCAAATCTCTATCTTCTCTGCTTTTTTTTTTTTTTTTTTTTTTTTTTTTTTTTGTTTTTCTCCAGTACCGGGAACCAAACTCACGACCTTGCGCTTGCCAGGCAGGCGCTTTTGCCGCTGAGCTAAATCCCCAGCCCCCTTCTCTGCTTTCAAACAGCCGGTTCTGTTCAATTTCTGGAACCATCAGCTCATCCTAGACTCTCATGATATTCTGCCTCAACCTGATCTCTCTGTCCCTTCTTATTGCCATGGATATTATCTTGGGATACTGGATGATAATTTACGTTTTCTTGGACCATCTCATTTCCACTGCAGGTAAAAGGGATAGACACACATTGTCCTGATTTTCTATATTTGTTGATGGAAAATCCTCAAGTGAACATGATCTAGCATTGCCTTTCTACCGTATGTCTCTTTTTATACCAATGATGGAAGTAGGAGTCACCGCTCACAGTGTGTAACGGTCTCCAAGGAGGGAGTAGTTGAACCTTTGAGTGGGACTCTATGTCTTTGAGTTGAAAAATTCCGAGAGGTACTCTGCATAGCTTTATACACACTTTAACGATCCTTGTATAATTAAGCCATCTTGTTCACTGTAGGCACCACCATGTAGTCCCTTTGCAAGAGCTTTCAGGATTATCTGCTCATAAACTATTGGCTTGCTTTCAGATAAACAGAGAAAGATGCATACATTTTAAGACAGAAAAATACAGAATATTTTGAGTCTTTCTTATGTTTCCTCTACACTTTTAAAAACCAATAAACACTTTCAATGACTTTGTTCAGCATGTATACTGCAATCATTTCAAGTAAATAGTAACCAGAGATATGAAATGGTAAAATTAAGTAGAAATATTTTCCCAGACTTGCTGAGCCCTGTTGAGAAAACTCATGTTTTTGTTGTTTTAGGGTCCAAGAGATTATAGTACATTATATCATTTTTAAAACTATTGTTATCCTTCTTCATATTTTGATCTCTGAAGGAAGGTTATACTTCTCTGTCACACTGACATGTGTTTTTGCAAAGTGCCTGAGACTTTTGTCTGGCCAATGGAATATAAACAGAAGTAATGTTAGTCCCTTCTGCACAAAAGTTACGGCTGCTTGAGTGAGAAATTTCTGGATTCTATGGTTTTTCTGTGTCCTTTCCCTCCTTTTTTCAATACAGTTGGAAATTCTCCATCAGCCTTGGTGGGACTCAGGGTAAAGAAATTGTGAATCAAATCTACAGCTGAGAGATAATAGACATGACAGGCTGAGAGCTGCCCATAAAAAGATGCTACAGCCTTCCAGGGAGGCCAGTGGAAACAGAAAGCCAAACAATGACAATGGTAGACAAAACACATGAAAAACTACTGCTTTTAGTGGCATTTCAAAAGTAAAATTGATGGGACACATTGACTCATTGAATTAAGTGCAAGGGTGGCAATGCTTGAGTTCTTATGGATATTACATCATGTTTTGCTTTTCCACAGCTTTGTGATAAATTTTATTCCATTTCCTGTTCTTCTATACATTCTTTGGGAACAGAGTAATCTTCTTCTAACATCATTTTGGTGATGTCACTTTTTTCTCAACAGGCTCCTTGAGGCTCCTCATTGCTAAAGAAGTATGTCTTACCACTATAGCATTCTTAATGTGTTCTAAATTCAATGTCTATTTCTTATCATTTGAGTCCTGCCTTCCTTAAAGAAAGTCTAATGGGTTCTCATTTTTCTCCACAGTAGTGCTTGGGTATATAGCTCATTGTCTTTTCTCAGTCATTACATTTGCTGTAGCTCCTTTCTTGACCCTTGCTCAGTTTCAATCTAAACTGCCTTAGTCAGGAGAGACTAAGGTCTAGCCTAGCAACAGATGATCCCAAAGGACCTATGGCTTACAAATAAAAATTATGTGACCTATCCACATTGCATGTCAGTCTTGGGGCAGATAGGACTCGAATGTTCTCTTCATTTATCTGGGCTTGGTAGAAGTCTGTACAGATTTATATTTGCTCTTTGATGTTCTTCTTGGAGATGACTGTTCCTTTATATTTTTTTTTATCTCAAAGTGAGTTGGAAATAAGGCTCACAGGAAAAGTATTTCTCAGTCTATACCACCATGCAGTCAAATCTATAAATACATGTGCACATTCACACATACAGACAGACAGACACACACAGACATCATTATAATCTACTAAATCATCACTTTGAATCTACTTTAAATCCCATTGACTTCTTTAATATCATCTTGTTCATCCCTGTATATGTTCCTATTCTCTCAACATTTGCAATTTGTCCTAATTATTTTGTGGATCTTATACTATCCTAGTCATAAATCAATTAATTTCTCTTAAAGGACAAAGAATAAGCACTTTAAGCTTCAATCTTTGTCCACCTCTGATGGTTAGGCTTAATTGTCAACTCAACTGGATTATAAGATGCCCAGAAAGGTTTTTGTTTTATGGAGGTGAAGCATATTCATCAGCAGATTAATGCACTGGAGTTCATAGCCAGATGTGCTGCTAGGAATTGGGGCACAGATGGAGGACTGGCGACAAGACTTTGCAGGGTACATCCCTTGCATAACTTTGTCCTATGCCTCCTGACCCCCACGAAGTGAGCAATTTCTCTCTGCCATGCCTTCTGCCATGATGTCCCTGCCTTTGATCCATCAAACTTTGGACTGAAATATCTGAAACCATGAGACAAATAAAAATTTCCTCTTTAAGTTGTGGGTGCTAGGGTTTGGTCTCAGCAAAAGCAAACAGGACAACTACACTTCCTGAAGCCTACTCATCTCTGCAGCTGTAGAGCAACAGGAGCCTTTAACAATATGTAATAGAAAGTGACTGTTTCCCAATAAAACTTTACTTTTAAAGCAGGTGATTAGACTTCTGGTGTAGCTGTGTTGTAGTGTGTTGTGTAAAAATTGCAATCCTAGAGTTATAACTTAAAAACTTGGATCTATTAAGACATACACTGTTTCGCATTCTTGGAGTGGCCAACTCAGTAGAATAGAGAAAGGCTTGGGAATTTACCTTCTCAATAAATTCCAGGTGAACTTTATGCTGGAATCATCAATTTACACAATGAAGACAGTGCTGTGTATTCAATGATTTGTTATATATTTGTTATCAACTAATGAATTAAACAGATGAATATTTTTCTATAAACCTGAGGAAAACATAATGTTTATTTTTCATATTTCCTCAACATATTCTTTGCTTTACAAAAGCCAGGTGGCTCCACTTAGCCAGAAACTACCCTGAATAAAATTTTATTTGCTACATGAATGAGTTACAATAAAGTTAGCATTCACTTTCTTTTATGGTGACACAGCATACAGCACTGTAAATATTACATTTTCCATGCTCCCTACACATGACAGACAGGTAACCAAATTGTTTTGTTTGTAAAGTCTCCCCGAGCTATTTTAACTTGTCCTGACACACAAAGCTTGGCTAAACCAAATGGATCAAGCTATTCACAGTACTTCAGTGGAACAAAGAGATTTTGGAAAGACACATTAATTTTATTCTCATTCAGTGCTGACATTATGAAAACATTATTATTTGTGTAGTTGTTTAAAATTCCAATCCTACTCATTCTCAAACACATTTTTAAGACTGCTTTGAGACTCTGAACTCTTGATATATTTTTACTAAGATAAAATGATTCTATCAAACGTTGCTGCAGTCTGACATAGAAATGATAAAGTGACACATTCTTGAAGAAAAAATAAATGATCTTGGATGATCTTGTTTAAGCAAATTTAATTCAATATATAGCACTTTAATAGTGAAACACAAAGACAGATTCTCATGAATAAAGGGCACATTGTCGTTTTGGTGATTTTAGAGGAATTGCTCGTATTATTTCCAAAAGTAATTTTGTATTATAATATTGTCTTACCATTAACATATCTTATGAAGTTTTGTGTAACCACTAAACAAATTCTCTCAGGTAAAGCAATTATGCTAATATTAATAATCTTAAAACATATAAGAATTAAAAACATTAAAACAGACCAGACCAACATAGTAGTGTAAATAATTTTTAGCTCCTCATAGAATATGACCCAAGTGAAATCAGCCTACGAACAGGTGAATGAATTAGGAGAAACTCCTAACTCTATGATTAGCTCCAATTATTACCCGACTTTTGTTCAGGAGATGTTTCAAAAAACGAGACAGTTTCCAAGTCAGTAGATTGTATAATGTTGTTCCACAGAGTGAAAGAAACACGACACTTAGTGAAGATCAGACTCCAAACCTTTGATCTCGGGGTCCTACCCATTTTCAGATTTTCAATGGACACGAGGCATTTACAAACCCCAGCTTCAGGTGCTGACCCAGGTGCTGGCCGAGGCGCTGACCCCGGTGCTGACAGAGGTTCTACCCGTCTCTTAGCACTAACTCTTCACCCTCTACTAAGCTCCTTTGATGAATCTGCAGAGAGGTATGCGAGAGAGACCTGCAGCCCTCCCGTTCCTTCAGAGGATTCTGCAGGGTACACCAGGGCAGAAACACAACCAACGATCTGCCCTGCAAAGGCGGGATTCAATTACTTCCCACAACTCGGCCGGAGCAGCGGGCACGCCGCGCTTTGTTTTGAGGGCGGGGAGATGACAGGCGGGCGTCCCGGGCCCCCATTGGCTGGCGGCTCCGGCTGCAGCCGGGCTGGCGGGCGGCGGCGCGGAACGAGGGAGTGAGCTGCGGGCGCTTCTCAGAAGGGGGCGGCCTCTTCCAGGAAGAAAGTGGCGTCCGCCGCTGCCCGGCCTGGAGGACCTTGTGTGAATGCGAGGCGGGGCGCTGCCGCGGGGACCCGAGGCGAGGAGGAGAGCTGAGGGAGCGAGGCACAGGGCCGCCGCTCCTTGCCGCGCTGTCGCTGCTCCCAGCCGCCGCGCAGGTAAGGCTGTCCCCGCCGGGGCTGCAGCTGCGGGCAGCTGTGGGCAGCTGCGGCCGCGCACCC